AAAATACATACAATTTAAAATTTTCACGCTTTTACGATCAACCCCTGTTTTTTAATCGCGATTTTTATTAGCCGCAATAGGCTTGCAAGATGGCAATCGAATATAATAATTGTAGTAGGATAAATTTTCATATATAATTCTCGAAATAACGTATGGCATATATATATATGCCAGTATTATTTTTTAAATGCAGATATTAGACTTCATAAATTTTGAGTTTTCAATCGACTTCAAAAAGAAGCCGGTTCTTAATTCGATTGTAATTTCTTATGTTTGTCACCACATAACTCTGTCAATTCTAAATAAATTTGGAAAATGCTTTATCATATTCATATTGATATTTCTTTATTAACCAATGTAACAGTTTTCGTCACACAATGGCAAGTCAGTATTTACATTATAATTTTGAAATTAATAAAATAAATAATAACAATAAGATTTAAATTATAAAATAAATAAAAATAAAATTACAAATGAATTATAGTTAACATTATAAATTAGTTAATACATGTCAATATAATGGTAACTATATACCAATAATGATGACTTCAAACTATAAAATTTTTATTATCTAAAAGTATATACTTACAAATTGGTTCTATCTCTATTTGTTGGTATCTAATTTCATCAAAATCAGTTCAGGAGTTTATTTTCTAAATAAAAATAACTGATTTTGCTAATTGAAGTCAGTTTTTTTAAATACGACCTTAATTATCTTGCATGTCGTATAAGGATTTTTTAATTCAATATGAGCTATAGAATGAGATTTTGTTTGTGGTTTAATTTCTGATAACCCCTTAAAAGTATCCTTATGAGTAGCAATTTATTAAAGGATGGCATAGCTAGATAAATCAGATATAAGGACGTATGATGTCCATGCTGTATAGGGAAAAGTGCTCAATTTTATTCAGAGGGGCTGTTTTCTTTGGGTAATTCTAAGATCAGTTCTAAAACATTTCGTGTAAGCTCTAACGTTTGGTTAAAATCTAATGAAGCCAAATTTAAGATATGCCAAATATGACATATGGTTCTTTCACTATCTTATGATCTTACAGGATTCTTATGAATTTGCAGGGTACAGAGGAATAACACCTGAGTCCTCAAGAATGGCAACGCATGGGGGATATCATGGGCGAAACAGTATACTCTGTTATGTCTATGGTACTGCTCATGTCTATAGGTGATGGTTACCACTTTCCATCAGGTGGGCCGTCAGCTTGTTTACCATTCTAAGTTGCATAAAAAAAAACTTCAACATTAATTATTAGTTAATTTATGAAATCACCGTGTGATTCCGCCATAGAATGAACCACCCCTTCCTTTCCCGTGGGTGTCATAAGCGGCAACTAAAGGAATTTATTGCTCGAGAGATGGGCAGCAGCGTCCCTTTTAAAACATCACTAGAATCTAACCGTGGTTATCAATCCTCCTGCCAAGCGTGGCAATTACTGGAGACCCCCCTCTTAATAAGGGGGGGGGGGACTATGTTCAGCAGTGGACAGTTAATTTAGCTGATATGATGTATGAATGATGTATGTATGAATGAGAAAATGAGTTTGTGAAATGTTACGATCTTTTGCAACATAATTGAAAAAATACACATGTTTTTATACAACTTAAAATGGCAAACAAGCTGACGACCCACCTGATGGAAAGTGGTAACCGTCGCCTATAGACATGAGCAGTACCATTGACGTAACTGAGTATACTGTTTCGCCCATGATACCCCCCATGCGTTGCCATTCCTGAGGACTCAGGTGTTATTTCTCCGTACCCAGTAAATTCACGCCATATCCCACCCTTTATTACGCCATTCTTATGTTTCTGATGTTCTGCCTTCTCTGTTATAGATTGTTATATATATTATATATTTAATTGTCCACTGCTGAACATAAACACCCCCTTGGGGGGTATTACCGGTAGTTGCCACGCTTGGCAAACGGATTGGCAACCGCAGTTTGGCTTTGTAGATGTTTTTAGAGAGACGCTATTGCCCATCCTTCGCCCTCCCTTAGTCGCTTCTGACCACGTCTTGACATCTACAGGAAAGGAAAGGAAGGATCACACGGCTAATTGTATATAAAAGGGACTCAGATAGCAACGCTTGTTTAGACAAAATAGGTAACATAACTCTACCCAAGCGAGTGAAATAAAACTTGAGTAATGATAAAGATTCTAGAATCTAGAACATTCTAGATTGTTCATTAATGGTATAACCAGATCTCAGTTTGCTCATATTTTTTTTTTATACAACTTAGAATGGCAAACAAGCTGACGGCCCACCTGATGGTAACCGTCGCCTATAGACATGAGCAGTACCATGGACATATCGCGCATGACACCCCCCATGCATTGCCATTCCTGAGGACTCAGGTCTTATTCCTGTGTACCCAGTAAATTTACGTCATATCCCACCCTTCAAACCGAAACACAGCCATGCAAACACAACTGCTTCACGGTTGAAACACGAATGGGACAGAGGTACCCAAGCAATCGACTTTTGTACAAAGTCTCCCTCTGGTAAACGGCCATATACGGCCAGAGGCGCGCCACGACTATTTTTGGCTTGCTCAAATAACTTCTGATGTAATTATTCGAGAAATGCTGAATTATTGTTTAATGATTTGTTAATTTTGTTGTCAGTTGTTGCAGTTTACATATTTTGTTGTTGCTCTAACGGGTTGTCGGTTTCCGTATGTTTTCTAACAATGATTTGGTATTTTGTAATGACGTCGGTAGTTTGGACTGTGATTTGAGTGTCGGTATTTGTAACTATGTTAGTAATGAAATAACGGTATTTATATTTCCTGAGTCCACAGGAATGGCAACGCATGAGGGGTATCATGGACGAAACAGTATACTCTGTTATGTCCATGGTACTGCTCACGTCTATAGACGACGGTTATCACTTTCCATCAGGTGGCCTGACAGCTTGTTTACCATTCTAAGTTATATAAAAAAAAAGAAATCATTGACTGTGAATAGCGTCAGAATTACGTAGTATTTTTTATACAATTTACAATGACAAGTTAACGGCCTACTTAATAGAAAGTGGTAATCTATAAACACGAACAATACCATGAACATAGCAAAGTGTACTGTGACGCCTTTAATTGGAACGTATGAGGCATTGCCATTCCTGAGGACTAAGCTGTTACGCCTCTGAACCCTTTAACTGTTTCATTTCCATATCGCACACTTAACACTGAAACATAGCCATACGAACACAACTGTTTCAGGGCAGAAACACGAATGGTATAGAGGTACCTAAGCAGACTTTTGTACAAAGTCTCCCTCTAGAACAAGTATATTATTACTCCCAGTTCTGAGGACTATAGTATGGTAGTTACTTACGCATAATAATGCCTTTATATTCAACAGTTTAATTGCCTTATTCCATCCTTCAAATCACGTAAGCACAGCTGCCTCGCGACAGAAATACAAATATGGCAGAAGTAACCATGCAAAGGACTTTTGTAAAGTTTTCCTTTCAAAGCTCTTGAATGATTACTTTAAGCATAATATCAATATTTCGTTGCACATCATAATGTAGTAGTTCAGCAAGTAAATTCATTGTATTTTATTGTCTTCATAAATATTTCGGATCCAAACATTTGATCGCGGTCCAAGAGTGTGTGCGGGGCTTATCATGATCGACAATGATTGCAGTTGGTCGCATAATGTATCACTTGGGCACTTCTACTCGAGTAATTGCGACTCCTTGATTTTATCAACATCATCATTTTAGACATTCATTGATTGTCCACCGCTGAACACGACAGCCTCGCAGACTGTCACCAGTGATGGTCTTTCCACGTAACAAATGTTTGCGATACCGTTTTTTTATGATTCATAAATTTATAATGAAAAATATAAATAACTTGTTATACTCGTATCACACAGTGCCATCTATTCTCAAAATAATCGTATTTTGCACTATTGGTTCTAGATAAATAGCTATGTTCTTTGTAAATATAGTATATATTTGAAATACATATATAGTGAACGTGCAGATCAATATAAACATACTCCGAATGCTTCCAAACCAGAAGCAGGTGTGAAGGGAAATTTTTTGTATTGATGTCTAGTGATCCCATTGCTAACAATATAGCGTCTCCGGTCGATCTTCAAGCGGTCTGTATAGCGACTATAGTGGTTAATTAACCATCAATCATGACAAATTTGTTATGATGGGTCAACTGACTTGTCTTCATTTTTAACTCTTCAATCATTATTCACTGATGAACCTCCAGCGTATATTGATAGCGTAGGCAAATATATTTTTTAAAAAATCCAGTAGCAATTGTCGATTCTCGGTAATATTTTTGAAGTGGTCTTACGTGGTCAAAAGCGCCAAGAATGACGTAAAAGTATTAGGAGGGCTGACCCCAAATAGGGAAATAGTCAGGAGATTGATTGATCTTACGGTATCGTCATTGTCTGTTTGCCTGAGAGGTGTAGTCAAGAACTTTCTTTCTCATCGATGGTCGGTTGTTCTAGTCATGTGGCTTATCCATATAATTTCACATATTCATATTTATAAAATTGTTGTTACAAACATATCAAATCATCGTTAGCATTAAATTTTAAAACATACAGATTCTTGTTTTAAAGATTAAGAGATTTAGTTTATATTCTTTTGTTACTTTCAATGAGAAGTAGTGGTATAGCCATTTATTTAATTTTGTTTTAATAGACAAAATATGAAATTTTTTGCATTGATATTTATTACTCCATACACAAAAATTCATATATTGTATTAACTTTGATTGAGATACAGTATTGAATTTGTAACATAAAATTCGGTTCTTTTGGTAATAAATCAACGTTAACATCGTCAATATCCATCAAGGACATGCAATAGTGATGGGCCATGACCATCATCAATCACGGGTGGTAGGGCATGTCACCGCATAGGTCAAGGAATCGCGGGGCGGGCGGCGAGCGGCGCGCGCGCAGGGCGGGCTGGCGCGTGGGCGGCGTGATTTGTTTACGGCGGCAGTCCCGCGCCAGCGCCGCCAGCGCCGCCAGCGCCGGCCCGCACCGCGAGCACACCCTATCCAGTTCACGGTCGCTCTATTAACGGACGGCTATTTCGGCGCATCATTCCGAACGTAGTGTTCAGTTTCGCGCGGGCAGGTGTGCGCAGGTCGAAATGCGAGCCACCCCCACGTCTTGACACATGTGAGCCGCGGCCATGGAACGGCGTCGTCGTTCACGCCTCGACGCGTCGGAACCCATGACGAAGGTAGTGCGACGCCGGGAGAAGCCGCGCGAGCGGTGGCTCCTCACCCGTAAAACATGGAAATACATGTCGGATGCAGGACGCCGGTTGATACCAGAAGGTGCACAGAACCGGGCTGAAGATGTGCCGCGTATAGAGGCGTATTTTCAGGAGGTGTGCGCCAAAGAGCCTAAGTTCTTGCTTTGGAGAAAGAGCTCGTATCCTGGAGCGATACCGCGGCCACGGCGTAAAAAACGTCCGCGCGGTGGCTCCGTTAGGGCGAGGTCACCGTCCGATGATATCCCGCCCCCAGTGCGTCCCACTGATCTATTCATTAGTCACACCTCTGGTGGACGCTTTGATATCGCTAAACTCAGGCGAGATTTCTTCGCGGCCCCACCTCCTTTAGCTTCCACCTCGGGATTTAGCCAAGGAAAAAGAGTAACCGATAGAGTCTCAACACTAGCACCCGTTGAGGATGAAGAAAACAATCTAGTCGATTTATTGCGCAAGTACCTGAAATTAGAAGAAGAAGCGGGAGTTACCAAAGTATCAGAAAGTGAAGAGTTAGTGCGGTCTCTGCGAAAGTATCTAAAACGGGAATCGGAACGCACTCCCACCGATACTGATGCAGATCCAACTCAGCGGACTCTACTAGAGAACCTCAGCAGATATTACGGTAGATCGGCGAATAGGGACCATATAGTGCAGGATATATTGACCGATAGGAATCTTTTAAAAAGACTATATCATGACCTTCGTAAAACGAAGCCGTATAGAGGCGGCAGGAGTGGCGGCGGAGCTGGTGCCGGTGGTAGTGGTTACGGACCTAGTGGTTATTCAAGTGCAAATAATGCTTGTGCGCGAAATTTACTGCGTCCACGAACTTTTGGTTTTATACGTAATAATGATGGTGAGGACTCATTACTGTCACCGCCGATGTCTCCGCCACCGCTCATCGAAGTTTTCGGTGAGTCACTAGAAGACAAGTATGTGGATTGTGGAACACAGACTGATCCTGTGCCGGAGGAAGTCTTGTTCGAGCTGGAGAGGTCGTATAGGGAGAAGCAGGAAGTGGCAACGGTACCAACGAGCCCTACAAGTCCACCACCGGACCGGAGACCTACACGGCGGCGTTCTAGCGTAGACCACGACGACGTATCTCAATCAGTTAGCGATACAATTAAACGTTATTTGCGAATGGCTAGAAAGAAAAGCGTGGACGCCGACAAAGCGGATCAGTTCAAGCGGATAAATTATGATAAAAATTTGCGAAATATAAAGCCTAAGTCACCCGGGATAGTGGACGACGACGGGCCACATAAAGGTTGTCAGACGGATGAGGCGTGGATATTGACATATAGGGATTTGCAATTCGCATCAATAGCGTCAACTCCAACGTCGCCACCATCCCCAGCGTCACCGTCACAGTCGCACTCGTTCCTCTCAACGTTACTGGGTCGTAGTGCACCTACAGTGGCTCCCCCTGCAGGTGGCATGCAGAAGTCGCGGTCGTCGAGCAGCGTGGTGCAGAGTGTCAGTAAACGGCTATGGCGGACGAGGAGCCGAAGTTCGAGTCGCGCTACAGCTACCTGGACGCCTCAGGTCAGTCGCATTGTATTCTGTGTTTCGTGTGGTCGTTTTAGTGTACTAATCCGTTTGTTTTCATTGCAAATGTTGTTTGTATACTAATGACGTGTAAAGAACTATGATACATACTCTCTATGATACTCGTATTTAAGTAAACAATGTAATTAATCATCCAAATTTAGTAAATATAACAAACAGATAAATCCAATTTATTAACCAACTTTCAAAAGGAGGTTATCACTTCAAATTGTATTTTTTTATGTTTGTTACTTCATAACTCCGTCAGTTCTAAACTGATTTGGAAAATTATTTCTTTATCTAAAAAGATATATTTACAGGTTAGTCTCATACAAGTATCAAAATCTGTTGGATAGTTTAATTTTGGGATCAAAACGTTTGGTTTTATCACAATTGAAGTCGGTTTTTTTGGGATACAATCGTTATTTCAATAAAACAATATTGCTTGAGCTTTACTGTTATTAATTCTATATCAAAATATCTTGTAACTCTATTAGAAGACAGTACCTATTAGAAGTTATACTGGTAACAATGAGTTCAATTATTATTACTTTTTAAGCAACTTAGAATGGCAAACAAGCTGACAGCCCACCTGATGGAACGTGGTAACCGTCGCCTATAGACATGAGCAATAGCATGGACATAACAGAGTGTACTGTTTCGCCCATGAGAGCCCCCATGCGTTGCCATTCCTGAGGACTCAGGTGTTATTCCTCCGTACCCAGTAAATTCACGCCATATCCCACCCTTCGAACCGAAACACAGCCATGTAAACACAACTGCTTCACGGTAGAAACACGGATGGGGCAGAGGTACCCAAGCAAATGACTTTTATACAAAGTCTCCCTCTGGTATTCTCAACTCTTTAAAATAAATATTTTAATTGGAGAGTTTAGTAAAACTGTTACATTAACGGATCGTAAATAACTAAAAACTCTTACTCAAGCCTGTTATACATTAAATTTATACTGGTCGTTAGAATGATAATATCTAAATTGAAATATTAATTTTAGAGACAGAGTTAGTTGTATGTGTAATTTTAGAGATTATTAGCTAACTACATACACCAACTATATATTCGTAAGATATATAGTTGGTGTATGTAGAGTTGATGTAAGTTCTGGCTGATTAATTGGAAACCATTCTATCCCTAGGGAACTTCGTCTTTGGCTACATAGTTTAATATGTTACCAATGACGTCAATCGGATATATTTATGGAAGGGATGCCGACCCTCTATATATCGAGGCCAGTTTATATTGATATAAGAACTAAGAAATTTCATTTCATTTGTATTTACACAATTGATTCGTTGCATTTATTAATTGTAATGTAAAATATTTATTGTACATAATTTATATTGGATACATTAAATTGTCTTGCTTATTCCCTTAATTCTATAATGCAAATAAAATATATAAATTTATTAATTCATTATTATAAAAAAAATAGCGATAGAGAAAAACTTTTTAAAAATTGTTTTTATTTATTTATTTATTTAACTCTTTATTGCACCATAAATAAAAATATACAATGAGAAACGAATAATTCAAGTGAAATATAGTAACATAAGTACAGATTGAAATATACACATAAAGGTACAAAAGGCGGTCTTATCGCTAGGGCAATCTCTTACAGACAACCTTTGGTTAAAGGAGAACAGATAGAAATGGGCAGGTGGCGCAAGAGTGAATTAATAATTTTTCGTGCATAAACTACAAAAACCTGTAATGTATAAACTTATTTGTATGTAGTGGTATTCTTTGTAATGGGTGATAATGGAATGGAAACCCCGCGCTATCGGTATTCGCTGGCGGGGCACCAGGGTGGGTTCAAGAAGAATTAACCATGATGGTTTTTGCGAGAAATTACGTAGAGATCTCTTTTTTATAGAACTTAGAATGGCATACAAGCTGACGGCCCACCTGATGGAAAGTGGTAACCGTCGCCTATAGACATGAGCAGTACCATGGACATAACAGAGTATACTGTTTCACCCATGATACCTCCCATGCGTTGCCATTCCTCAGGACTCGGGTGTTTTTCCTACGTACCCAGTAAATTCACGCTATATCCCACCTTTCAACCCAAAACACAGCCATGCAAACACAACTGCTTCACGGCTGAAACACGAATGGGACAGAGGTACCCAAGCAATCGACTTTTGTACAAAGTCTTCCTCTGGTAGGTAGGTCAACCTGAGTGGGTAGGTATATTGTTAGCAATGAGAGTATTAGATCAATCAGATATTACTAACGATACCTTTTCTCCCAATTGCTTAGTACTGGGATTAAAGATTCGTGGGTCTTGGTGATCTTTAGGCGGTCCGCATGTTTTATTACTACCCTCATAGTTAAAAAAAAAAAACTATCTGAACTGTCTTGAGAACTATATAGGATCGTAAAGATTATACTATATACCATGTCAGCCGTTAATTGTCCACTGCGGAATATAGGCCTCCCTATATTAGGGGGGTTTTGCCAGTAGTTGCTAAACTTGGCAGGCGGGTTGACAACCGCAGTTAGGCCTTGGAGATGTTTTAACACTAATCATACCAACAATTACTAGATACTTAGTCTACCATAGCGGGTCAAATGACCCGAAGTTAATATTTTATACCTTATGTAAAAATTATGGATCTTAGAATGAAAATAAAAATATAAATATATTATAATGTTACTAAATAATATATTGACAATTTTTAATGTAAACAAAAAAATAGGAATTATTTTTATTCATCGTATTTTTTTACATATAAGAGTGTCCATCGTACACTTTCCGCGAACATTTTTTTACATTTAGTGGAAGTTTTGCTGGTTTTATTTTCTTTACAGTATCCTATTTGACACCTTTTACGTTTATTAGCATCTGTAGCAGACTTACGAAATGGTTGTTTCTTATTTCTTTTTTCTTTTGGTTGTTCACGGGCTTCTCGATAATCATCGGCAAGTTCTACTGCTAGCTTTAGTAAAAAATCCTGTCTCGGGATATTATCTCCTATGTTATTGCTCTCATATGTTATTCCACAAAAAAGAAAGTTTCAAATTATTTACTCCATATGCAGCTCGTGCGTATACAATTGCAATAAATGCCGCAAGTTTTTCTTTAGATAAACTCCAATCGCTTCCTAATACTCTGTTTGCTTCTTCTATTGTGCATGTTCTTATATGATTCATAGTACGATGGTCAATTATCAATGAAAATGCAGTACTAACTTTACCTTTCATTATATGGCGTTTTGCATATCCTGTTGGGCCAACTTCTTGCCTGAAAATGTTATAAAGTGGTGGTCTTCCAGGTATACCACCTACTTGTATTTCTTTCCAAACAGATCCATTATTCGCAACATATTGTTCATTCACTTCGACTTCACTTTCTTCAGAACTTGAAAGTAATCTTATTCTTTTTCGTCCACGACCAATATTTACAATATTTTCCTCTTCATCGTCAGTATCTGATGATTCAACCTCATTTTTATTTGTAACCAATATATCTTGGTTTTCAGAAAATTCATCTTCACCGATTTCCGGAAACTCTTCTCCAATATCATTTATATCTTCTAAGAACTTGTAATGTCTCGCGCGTTTAGACATTTTATGGGTAAAAAAATTCCTGTACCACTTATAAAGCTATAAAAATAAAATATAAACTATTTACCAAACTTTCCTTTTTTGCTAACTTTTTTACACAAAAATTTATTTTCAATCTAAAATTTTAATATTTTCTTGAATTTTTTCTCGCTATTTTGATTCAACTACTTTACGTAACAGTCGCTGCAGAAATGTGCAGTTTACGACTGCAATAAGAGATAAGCAATATGTATTGATAAGCTTATAAAACAAAAAATGTCTTAGAGGGTCAAATGACCCGATGTGGTAGACAAAGGTAAACTACGGTATTACTTAACATAAACAAAATAAAAAAATACAAAAATAGTATAAGAACAGTAGATTTAATAAGTTAATAAAAGTCATGAAGTTTAATGTTGAGAAGTAAAAAATAATACGTGCATTATCAATGCAAAAGTTTAAAATGGGTCATTTGACCCGTTATGGTATGATTAGTGTTAAGAGAGACGCTGCCGTTCATCTCTCGACCATTAAGTTCTCTTAGTCGCTTCTTATCCTATTCTTTGCTGGAACCACATGGCAAAAAATTATAATATATTTGACCTAAAATGATCGCGTTTGTTCCTGTCTCTTATCTTGTTTATATTATAATTGTAGATAGTTTCGAAAGAGTTTTGAATATTTGTTATTTCAATCAGGCTGAATCGAATTTGAATTAAATTTAATACTCGAGTAGTTATATAATTGACACATTAATATGTGGTAAAACCCCCTGAGGGGGAGTATTCTGTTCAGCAGAGGACAGTTAAAGGCTGATATGATGATGATGATGATGATACAGTAATCATAATAATTAGAAACAATGTTAGTAAACGTGAACTTATCGCTAAAAGACATCTCTTCCAGGCAAAGTAGTGAGTGGGCAGCAGTAATGAAAAATAGAAAACTAAACAACAAAAATAAGCATTTTCTGTGATAAGAGTTAAATAGTTAATGCTTTAGTTAATAATAATTAGGGAAAAGGTATCAAAATGTTTCAGTTATTAATAACGTCATTTCCAGTTGCGATAACTTACTGCAGCAAACTCCATCAGTCACATGGAAGTCTGAGCGATATACCACATAAATTTTCTTGTAAAATGGCAAATTCTTTAACGCACATCGAACAAGGCGCCCGGAACCATTTCACCTATGTACGGATTTCATCTATTCGTAGCAAGAGCTTCGCTTCATCGTTTCTTATACGAACAGCCAAGGAGTGGATTTCTTCTCCGGCATCTGTGTATCCGGATTACTTTAACAAGGGCTCTTTCAGGGGTACAGTGAATAGGCATTACTGAAGTTTACATGTAACACCTTAGAATTCACCCTCATGATCTTAAATCATGTGAAATTGTAGTCAAACATGTTAAAATTTAATATAAAAAAT